ATAGGGACAACCATCGGGTCAACCATCGGGACAACCGTCGGGACACCCATCGGGACAACCATCGGGACAACCAACGGGACAACCGTCGGGACAACCATCGGGATAACACCATCGGGACAACACAATGGGAACCACCATCGGGACAACCGTCGAGACAACCATCGGGACAACCACCGGGATACCCATCGGGACAACCACGGGAAAACCATCGGGACAACCGTCTGGAAAATCGGGACAACCATCGGGACAGCCATCAGGACAACCATTGTAACAACCATCGGGACACCCATCGGGACCACAATCGGGACAACCATCGGGACAACCATCAGGACAACAATGGGAAGAACCATCGGGACAACCATCGGGACAACAATCAGGACAACCATAGGAACAACCATCGGGACAACCATCGGGACACCTATCGGGACACCCATCGGGACAACCATCTGGACAACCACCGGGACAACACCATCGGGACAACACCATCGGGACACCCATCGGGACAACCATCGGGAAAACCATCGGGACAAACATCGGGTCAACCATCGGGGCACCCATCAAAACCACCATAAGAACAACCGTCGGAACAACCGTCCGGAAACCCATCGGTACACCCATCGGGACAACCGGCGGGACAACCATCGGGACAACACCATCGGGACAACACCATCGGGATACCCATCGAGACAACCGTCGGGACAACCATCGCGACAACCATCGGGACAACCATCGGGCCAACCATCGGGACAACCATCGGGATAACCATCGGGACAAGCATACATCGGGACAACCATCGGGGCAACCATCGGGACAACCATTGGGACACCCATAGGGACAACACAATCGGAACCACCATCGGGACAACCGTCGAGACAACCATCGGGACACCCATCAGGATACCCATCGGGACAACTATCGGGACAATTATAGGGACAACCGTACGGAAACCCATCGGGACAACCATCGGGACAACCATCGGCTCAACCGTCGGGACAACCATCGGCACAACCATCGGGAGAACCATCGGGACAACCATCAGGACACCCATCGGGACAACCATCGGCACAACCATCGGGGGCCGCGCCCCGCTGGGGGGGGGGCGGGAGGGGCGGGGGGCCCGATGGGCTCCATGTGGCCTTTACAACTGCAAGAACTCGCGCAACTTCGCCTCGCCCGCACGCACGACACGAACCGACACCGAAACCGATTACCCTGTTGGGGCCACTTCCGTTCACACCCCCCAACCTCCGACAAATATGCAGTTGCGGAGGAGGTTGGGCCAGAGTGGCACAACAAGTATTCCAGGGCGATGGTGGCGCGCGTCGACCTGGACAAGGGCGTGCCTTGGAGAGGTCCTTCAACGTCCACCACAGATTGGCCAACAGCTTGGCCACCCAAGACACGCGTCGCCGCCACACCCGCGCACGTCCACCACAGCTTGGCCAACCAAGAGTAGGGCGTGACGAAACTCCGTGACTTTTGCAGGCTGTTCGTCGCCTACATCGCGAAGCACAACGTGATGGTCTGCATGGGGGACTTCAGCATGTGCATGTTTCAGTTTGCGCCCTGGTGCCGCAATCGCGAAGTCACTTTGGGCGTCGCCGCATGGACCCCCTGGAAGACAGCGGGCGGCCAGCCCGGGGTAGACAAAAGGCGATTACGTTCATAAGCTGGCCTGGGGACGACAGGCTTCAACATGGCCTGGACGTCTTGCATGATGGCAACGGCAAGTTCTGACGATCCAGCGTGAACCATCTTTCCGTGTATCCGACTTTTCGAATGGCCCCGAGAAGATACTGCAAACCTACCTGCTCAGCCCAAGGCAGGCCTCGTCGCAGACACGATGCGCGCCGTCCTGACGCCATCTGACGCCACCGTGGCCACAGTTCCGGACTTTACGCGAAAGATGGCGCAGAAGACGCGCGGCGAGTGAACGCCCCATTGATTTCAATGTAAGGCAGTCCAAACAGGACGGCGTCTGGCACGGCAGCGTCGGCAAATCACGAAACTTAGCGCACTTCCCCCTGGCGGCTTTCACGCGCAACACGGGCCAAAGGTCATTTGAACAACTCGCCACTAGGCTCCAGCAGAGGGAGCGGCTGGCCGAAGCAACGGCGGGCAAACACGGCGGCAATAAGGGCGGCAAGAAGGACACCGCAGTTGCAGGCAAGGGCGCCCAAATTAGCGCCCAGGGGGAACCGCAGCTGCGGGGAGAGGCGCTGAAGCTGAGCGAGCTTGGAACTCGCAGCCGCCGCAGGCTGCCAGCGGCGACGGTGTGACCACTTATGCAGCAATGGCGGCTGGGTCCTACGGCGCCGGCGGCGGCGGCGTACTGGAAGGTCCCGCGACGGGGTGGCGCTATGGTTCCGAGTGGGGCTAGTGCGCGTCGGGATGGCGTGCTGGTGGCTGGCAGTGGTTGCATGATGATCGCGCCGCAGTTGCGGACAATGCTACGAAGGGCTCGCCTCCTGAGAGATTGCGCGCGTGGAGGGCGAAAGAACGCATTGGGACTCCGGACTCCTGGAGGTGGTCGGCCTCCAAAGCGTCCTGCTGCTCAGGCGCGCAGCGTTAGTGATGGCCGCGGTTGCGGGCCGTTGCAGCATAGTTGTGATGGCTGCAGTTGCGGACACTGCTGCGTGAGTGCAAGGTGACAGAAATCACCCTCCTGCTGCTGCTATCCCCGATATTGTATGGGTCACTCCCATGTAACAGTGTTTGGAAACGTTCAAAGAGGGGCTGGGGCACTGCCTTGAAGCTTCCAGTGAAATTAAGGCACTGATTTGAACCGTCGTCACGTCGCATTTATACATAGATTTATATACGTATCTATCTATATATATCTATCTATCTATCTATCTATCTATCTATCTATCTATCTATATAATCTACACATGCATACACACATATGTATATATATGTAAATATATGTATATATATATATATATATATATATATGCGCAAACCTCTAAGCATATGTACATGTTTACGCACATGCATATGTATATGTATATGTATATGTATATGTACTTGTAAATGTACATGTATATGTATGTTTGTGTGCATGGTCATGTTTATGATTGTGCAAATGAAATCGTATATGCATCTGCAAGTGTGCTCTGTGTATATATATATATAAGTATAGATGTATACATGCGGGTGCATTGATATTATTAGTACTGGGTATCAGTATATGTGTATGAGTATGGTATTGTTTATGGGTAGTCATATGCATATGGATATGCCTATATATGTATGCATGTATATGTGCATGCATATTTCTATATATGTATGTCTATATTTACATGTATAGATGTACGCCCGGGGATGACCTCTCACGGAAGCAAAGCCAGACCCCTGCGCCTCCAGTCTGCATGTGTGCTGAGGCTAGTCGGGCCACTGTACATGAGCGACGAAGGTCTCAAGCACGACGACACGGTGACCTTTCAGCTGGTTCTCGCAGGCCGTTGACGCGGAACACCACGTGGAGAGGAGGGCGCATTCGCGCGACCTTACGTGGCAAACGTGCGCGCTAATGTCCGCGAAATTGACCCTGTTCTTTTACGTCGCTCAGACGTACTGGCTCGCAGCTGGAAGCCCGCATCTCGCTGGCCTGCGAACCAGGGCCCGACAAGTCGTTCTGCTGCTCGACGCGCACGGCAAGCTCCCGCCGTGGTGACGTCGGCTCCAGTTTCTGACGCCACATGAAACATTTGACCTCAAAATACCGACGCCGCGGGATGCCTGGAGAGGACCCTCCTGGCAGCTTCCCTGGCGCGAGAGGTCCCTTGGTCGCTTCTTTGGCGCGAAGGGCTCTCCCGTGCCGCTTCCGAGCACTATCCTGATCAGAGCCGCGTCTGGACGTGGCCACGACGCTTTCCCCCCAGGAGGCCCCGAAAGGGTGGGCTCTCCGGCAACGCAGAAGGGCCCCCCAGACCCCTTCCGACCACCATCCTGACGAGCTTTCGTCCAGACGTGACCACGAGCCCCCCCCAGGAGGTCTCGAAAGGGTGGGGATCGTTGAGATTCCCCTCTCGGCCTCGTCGTGTTGTGCCTCTTCGTGCTCCCCTGGTGCGAGCCCAGATTCCAGACGTAGTGGTTGCTTGCAACTTGTACCCCTGGATGTGTCGACCTCTTCCCTGGACGTATTTCTCATCCTGAATATTTGTGGATGGTCCTGGGGCCCAGCAAGGCCCTCCAGAGGCCGACAGCACGCAAAAACCCGGTGTCATGTTTTTCTGCGCAACGCGAAATGGTCTGCCCCCCCATCCCCCACACCCAGGCGGCTTATCTCGCGCGGAGTTCCCTCCCTTCCGAGCTCGGGCGCGGGCGCCCCCCCTCTGTCGCCGCCGCCACCGACGCGGTCGCCGCCGCCGCCGCTGTCGCGATCGTGGTCGCCGCCGTGGCCGCCGCCGTGGCCGCAGCCGCTGCCGCCGTCGCCACCGGCACCGTCGCCGCTGTCGCCGTTGTCGCCACCGTCGCCGCCGTGGCCGCCGTCGCCGCCATGGCCGGGGCCACCGCTGCCGCTGCTGCCGCCGCTGCCGGCAGCCGCCGCTGCCACCGTCGTCGCCGCCGCCGCCGTCACCTTTGTCGCCGCCGTCGTCGCCGCCGTCCCTGGTGCCGCCGCCGTTGCCACCGTCGCCGCTGCCGACGTCGTCGGCGCCGTCGTCGTCGTCGTCGTCGTCGTCGTCGTCTTCGTCTTCGTCGTCGTCGTCGTCGTCGTCGTCGTCGTCGTCGTCGTCGCCGCCGCCGCCGCCATCGTCGCCGCCATCGTCGACGTCGTCGTCATCGACGTCGTCGAAGCCGTGGCCGTCGTCGTCGTCGTCGTCGTCGTCGTCGTGGTCGTCGTCGCCTTCGCGTCGTCGTCGTCGTCGTAGCTGTCGTCGTCGTCGTCGTCGTCGTCGTCGTCGTTGTCGTTGTCGTCGTCGTCGTCGTTCTCGTCGACGCCGCCGTCCCGGCCGCCGCCGCTTCCGCCCCGCGCGCACGAGCGGGAGCGGGCGCGCCCCGGGGCTCGGCGTCCGGGCTGCTCCGCGCGCGCGCGCGGAGCGCAGGGCGGCCTCCAGCGCCTGTGGTTCGCCGCCATCGCCACCGCCGTCCACTCCGTCGCCGCAGTCGCCGACGTCGTCGTCGTCGTCGTCGCCGCCTTCGTCGGGGCTGACCGCGTCGTCGTCGTCGTCGTTGTCGTCGTCGTCGACGACGTCCCTCTCGTCATCCTCGTCGTTATCCCCGTCGACGTCGTCGGCGTCGTCGCCGTTGGCGCTGTCGGCGTCGATGTCGCAGTCGTTGCTGCCGCCGCCGCCGCCGTCGCCGTCGTCGTTATCGTTGTCGTCATCGTCGTTATTCTCCTCATGCCGCTGTCGCTGGCGGCCGCCGGTGCCTTCCACGATGCTGCGGCCGTTCACGAGAGGCACGTTACTCGATCAGTAGTGGGCCACAGTGTAGCTGCTCAGCTCTTGAGGCGACGACAGCCCTTCTACTCGTCCTGGTCCTTCAAGTTCCTTGGCCTGGCTGCTCCGTTTCCGTTCATGTCCGGACAGAAGTCTCCCGTCATTCAGGCCAGCGTAAGGAGAAGCAATCATCCTGCCAAGATCAGGCTGTCAACTGGGGAATTTCGGGGATGGCAGGTGGCTCCTCTTGCCTGGGTTCTCGCAGGCCTGAAGTTTCACAACCCACGCAAAGCTGGATATCAAACTGTGGACGATAGGCCGGGCTGCGGCCGAACGCGAACGGACAGAACTGGAGCTGGAAACGCACGCTGCTACTGATATGTGGAAAACCACGGGGGATACGAATCTGGACAACGAGCGGATCTTGATAAGGACTCTGCCCGCGTGCGTATCGAGCCCAGAGCCCGACTTGAATTCGAAGGCTTCGAGTTTGTGAAGCAGACACAGAACACGAGCAAACGATGCTATGCTAAAGGCGCAGTGGGCACGAACTGCTGAATGCAGGTAGCGCGCGTGCAATTATGTGGGCTCTGGGATAAGCAAATGCCTGACCCGAGGTGGATTCGATGATGAACATCATGAGGGTGATGATGCCCGTAACAGCTGCGAAGAGCTGGGTGGTTACTGATCTCGGCCCGCGGTTGCCATGCCAGGCGGTCCGTCCGAGCGTGAACTATGTGACAATCTTTGTGCTTACTCGCGTGCAGATATTCTTGGAGATGACCGTGCTTCAACTTGTAGTCGGTCTCAGAAGTTATGAAGACTGGGTGGAGGCCTTCAGGGCCCATGGCGCGACGGCCAATGCACTCAAATCTCCCGGCGGACGGGGGCGCGCCCAGCGTGGAGTACACAGTAGAATGCAGAGGTAACAGTCAGCATAGCGCGCCCAATCGTCTGTCGCTTTGCAGCCCAGCAGGCCCTGGTGAACACCTCCCTCATGCATCCTCGCGCTGGTAGTCCATCCGCCCATCCAAGTTTTGAGGGACGAAGACGAGATACGAACGCGAGTCTTCCTCATCGTGGCAGTGATGAAATGGAAATCGATGCCACTGATGACGCTGATCTGCTCAGGACAGTGGCGGTGCAGACGGGCTTTGAACATATCCCGAGCGCTAGCCTGGAACATCATTTCTTCAATCTCTATTATGCTCTCTTCTGCACACCCTGCTTCGAACCTTGGTCCCGGGTGGTCAAGGGGAAAGAGGAGGATGACGTGACGAGGAGGACGAGGACGAGGAGGAGGAGGAGGAGAAGCAGGACAAGGAGGAGGACAAGGAGGAGGAAGATCGACAGCAAGATGCCAGGGGCGCCTCTTGCCACACCAACCTTGCGACCTGGCCTGCCCGTGAATCCTGTGATGCAGCTGCGAACTCCCCGCCCCCTTCGCGCAGCGAGAGCACGTCCCCAAACCCCTGCCGTCGTGTTGTTTTCACAACGTCGACCCCCAAAGGTCTGGACCCCTTCCCGGGGACCGGTTTTTCATCCTGGATCGTTTCTTGACGGTCCCGAGGCCCGGTAAAGGCCCCCGGAGACCGAAAATACCTCTCGTCGTGAACTTTCACAACGCGAGGGAGTCTGGGTCTCCACTCTGGTGAGCGTTTTCTTATTCGGCGTTTCGACATTGGGCGGAAGGGGGGGGGGTTCTGGCTCCAGACCTATGCTTAGCGCGACTGTGTGCAACAGTGCGTCATATGGGCGAGACTCCACCTGGTTGAAACAGGGGGGGGGGTTGAGCAGGGGCCGACCGTCCTGGCATTCCTTTAGGCGAACCACCAAATGTTCTTAGAACCCAGAAACGTTCTAAAAACGAAAACAATGTTCTTATAACATCCACCCAGTGTGTTAAAACAAGACAGTCTCAACCAGAAATGTTCTAAACACATTTCGTGCAATCCACAAACAAATTCTCAGAACATTCTTTGGTGGGCCTATAAGCAAGCCGGGACGCTTCGCCACTGCTCGAGGAGGGCGAGGGCCCGCGACGATCGACAGAACAATCAGTAAGAAAACGACGACGTCTCTGCGCCGACGCAGACCTCCACGAGTGGCGCCCTCAGGCCGGCGCGGAACAGGGGGCGCGGGAAGGCGGGGCGGCCGTCGGCGGGCAGGCCTCGTCGCTGGCCTCGTCGTGCTCGTCTGGGCTGCTCCGTGCGTCGCCCAGGCCGCCCAGGTCCTCGGGGGACGGGGGGGCCTTCTGCTGCTGCTGCTCCTCCTCCTCCTCCTCCTTCTGCCCTTGCTCCCGCTTTTTTGACGTTGCACAGACATGGATCGGAGATCGTTGCGTTCCAAGTGCGTAAGAAAACAACTTGCCGACTTAGGCAACGAGCCACCGAATTACGCCTGGCGGGCGCAGCTGGAAAAAAAAAGGCGAAGACCAGTGAAAAAGGTGCAAGAGCCGATAGGCCTTAGAGTATGCGCCCGCCAGGTCGCATGGTTCAGAGGGGAAAGACAACAAACCAGTCCTTCCTCCCCCTCCTCCTCCGCCTCCCTTTTTGGCCGGCGCGCACAGGGGGGTATGGGGGAGGGGGGAGGCTTCTTATAAGCACCCCTGCTTCTAAGAAGCCTTCCCCAGACCGTATGATCTGAACTTCAAAATTGTAAAGCAATTGCACGGATGGAGGGCGGCTTCTGTTCAAAATGCGGCTAGCGCCCTAGCGCCGCGCACACTCGTCTCAAACGCATCCAACAATTACACGGACGGAGGAAGTGTCAAAATGCGGCTCTCGCGTTAGCACCGCGCGCAATCGTTTTGACCTTTACTATTTCCCAACTAGATGCAATAATGGAGGTCGACTCGTTTTCAGAATGTGGCTATCGATTCATATTCCCTTCCTTTTTAAAACGAGGCTATCGCTGGACAGCTCCTTGCACTTCATCATCTTGCCTCTTTGCGTTTTGGGTGGCGCGCAGGGGGTAGGGGGAGGGGGGGAGGCTTCCTAGAAGCACCCCTGCTTCTTAGAAGCAGGCCTTACGTCTGTAGATAAGGCCCGCGCCTTCTAAGAAGCAGGGGTGCTTCGAAGAAGCCTTCCCCTCTACCCCTACCCCCCTCTGCGCGTGGCCGACCTTTCCTGCTCACCCCCTTTTCCTGATACATAGATCTGCCTGTCGCACCGCCAAGCGTTTCCGTAGCCTCCTCCTGCCCTTCTTCCTGCCCTTCCTTCCCCTCTTCCTCCGCCTCCCTTTCCTCCTCACCTCCTTTTTCCTGATCAGCAGATCCGCCTGTCGCACCGCCAAGCGTTTCCATAATTAGCCTCCTCCCCTTCCTCCCGCTCCTCCCTCTCCTCCTCCGCCTTCCTTTCCTGCTCACCTCCTCTTCTTGATAACTAAATCCCCGTGTCGCATCGCCAAGCGTTTCCATAGGCCCGGCTGGGCGTTTTGCGGGAGACCTCCTTACCTAATTTCAGCCTGAAACTCAACATGATCTTGACTCTTTGCGTTTTTTTTGGCGGCGCGCAGAGGGGGGTAGGGGGAGGGGGGGGGAGGCTTCTTAGAAACACCCCTGCTCCTTGGACGACGCGGGCCTTGTCTGTAGATGTAGGGCCGGCGCCTTCTAAGAAGCAACCTCCTCTGAAGAAGCCTTCCCCCCCTCCCCCCTGCCCCCCTCTGCGCGCCGCCCGGCTTTTCCAAGCTGGAAGGGCGGATGGGTGGATCCTCTGCGTAACAGGACCCCGCCCGAGCGGCAGGCCCGCCGGGGGCGCTCGTCATCCCGAGCGGGCGCCCCCCGCCGTGGAGAGGGACGCTGTGCAGGACCCGGTGAGGAGGGGGCTTTCGGGGCGGGAGGGTGCATTGCAACATCGTTGATGCATCCTGGGTTTACTCTGGTCCCCTCCTCCTCCTCCTCCTCCTCCTCCTCCTCCTCCTCCTCCTCCTCCTCTCGCTGGGTTCCTGGTTCCTGATGGCATGTGGGTTCTACGAACGCTGCACTCCCCCCCCCCCGGCCACTCGGCCATAGAGGGGGTTGATTAAACTAGAGCCAGGCGACTCCTGGAGCACTGCTCCACGAGTCGCTGGCTGATGGGTGTGTAAGTGTTACAGTAGGACTGACAGACATGTAGTCTTCAGACGAAACCGCACACCGCTCAACCCTCTGGGGGTTGAGCCGGTGTTGGAAAGTAGCGCCGCTAACCTAAAGGGGGGGCCTATCCCAGGAGGAGAGGGAGAACGAGGAAGGGGACGACACGGGAGGACACCAGCAGAGAAGATGGATGCAAGGAGGGGAGGGATAGCAGGGCAGGCACGTCAGCGGGGGGAGAGCAGCGGGGGTGGGCCCCGGCAATCTGATGAACCCCCTAGCGCACCAAAGTAGCGGTCAAAACGGGAAGTCGTACACAATTAGCGCCTGCTGACTGGTGTGCCGACCTGGGGGTCCAAGTTACTCTGTGACAGCACATCTGGGGCCAGGGCTCGATGGTTGTACTGGTGCATAAGAGAGGGCGCGTTCCTCTTCCTCCTCCTCCTCCAACTCGTCCTCCTCCTCCTCCTCCTCCTCCTCCTCCTCCCTGTCCTCCTCCTCCTCCTCCTCCTCCAACCCCCCTCCTCCTCCTCCCTGTCCTCTCCTCCTCCTCCCCTCCTCCTCCTCCTCCTCCTCCTCCTCCTCCTCCCTGTCCTCGTCCTCCTCCTCCTCCTCCTCCTCCTCCTCCTCCTCCTCCTCCCTAAGCGGGGGAGCCATTGGTGCTCGACCTCCAGCGTCGTGAGAGGAGTAGCGATTTCCGCTTCTTCGCGACGTCGGCCTCCCGTGGGCCGCTCTGGGGCACAAGGCGACAGATGCCGCGACTCTCGCGGCGCTCCCTTGTGAAGCTGTTTAACACGCCAAGGCCCCACTGACGACGATGCTGGTTAGCGGCGATGTTGGGATCTGGCTTCTGCGACGCCGAACTCGCGCAGAACGAGTTGGAGGAAAGCGCGAGTAACGCTTTCTTGCAGCTGGGTTGGCCGCGAACCACCCCCACCTGCAGCACCGAAGCCTGCACCACCTGGCACCCACATCGCCGTCAGCGTGCTTACGGGCTTTTCGCACAGGTCGGTCCGCGGAGGGGCCTGCCCTGCAGGTCTGCCCGCGGAGGGTCGGGCGGCCAAGGCTTAGGCAGAGGGTCGAGGCTGCCGGGCGCTTCTTGACCGCCGCAGTCGTCGTCGTCGTCGCCGTCGTCGTCGGCGTCGTCGTCGCCGCCGCCGTCGTCGTCGCCGCCGTCGTCGTCGCCGCCGTCGTCGTCGCCGTCGTCGTCGCCGTTCGTGTGTCTGCGGGTCCTTCGCACAAGGAAATGCGCAGGGCCAACATCCTTTCTCAACTTCCACCTCTTGGGACCGCCCTCGGGCCTCGGGGGGCTGGCTCGCCCGACCCGGTCCTCGCGCGAGCCCTCACGAGGGAGCCCCAACTCCAGGTGCTGGATCGTTCCGAGAGGGCTCCCGCGGCCCGATCTGGGGGGCCCCTGGGAACAGAGGGAGCGAGGAGGAGGAATCGGAGGAGGAGGAGAAGGAGGAGGAGGGGGAGAAGGAGGAGAAAGAGGAGGTGGCTTTCCAGGATTTCCGCCATCCCACAAGGATACAATAACCGAGTTCATCCCAGCTCTAGGGAACAAGCTTCTTTGGATCCTGCTGCAATATTCTCGTCGGGTCTTGGAGAAGTGCACGATTCGCCTAAGCCCCTGAGCTAGGGCTGATCAAAACAACCTCGCGTGCCACGGTACCAAATATTCAAACTATGGTGGTCGACTAAAGCGTGTGAGGGGTCGACCCAGCATCCTGCTAAGTGCAGCCTACGTCCTCGGGTTAAACAGGATAACCTACTATCCACGGGGAAGAATTGGACAACAACATTTTAAAGCCAGTCGAACAAACACGTCTTGATTGCAGAGCCTTTACACATGCTGCACGATCCCCCGCTTTCGGTCAGGACGTGCGCGGACGCGAAGCGTGCAACAGCAATGGGGGGAGGTGGAGGGATGCGAGAGGCCCTCTTCGGAGCCTCGTCACGGTTAGTCTGAGCGGCAACTATAGAATCAAGGCCCACGCGGAACAATATTTTCATGACAAGCCACGCATTCTGAGCAACTCGGGCAACCGTGATGCGATCAACTTGGGGCGAACGAGCGCGAATGACAGCCCCTTTCGTTGACACATCTACCGCATTATTTCCTTGAGCCAGCCAACTGGGCCACCGACGCTCGGCAACCTACTTTCCTGCAAGGTGCGAAGGAACTTGGATGACTGAAGTATAAGAAAGGTCCATACATTACCGACTTAGAGGAAGACGAATTGATCTCCACAGGTCGGCCTGGGGCCCTAACTGTGAGAGAAGCTGGCTTCCATGCCAGCCACGAGCAACGTCAGCACAATCAGTTACCTGCACTAAAGCATCAAGACAAGCGGGGCCCACAAGACCACCATTGAGAAAGCCATTGCCGTCCCACGATTCGGAGGAGGGGGGAAGGGTGACAACGGTCCAGGACGCAAGGATGATACTACTCTTTTTTTGTTTGTGTTTCTCTTCTCTATATAACAAACGGGTAGGCCTCAGTTTTTTTAGCTAACAGCTTTTGCTGATAGGTTTCTAGTGGACTCAAAAGAGAGCAGCAGATGACTCCACAAGGGGGTCTGGGCGGCATCCGGGGAGCTGTGTCCGAACTCGTGTCCGAATGCGCTTTTCGCAAACAGTCACACACTTCGTGCTCTTCGACCTCCCAGACCTCCATTCCCGGGCCACATTTTGAATGCCTGGAGCCAACTGTACGCCACTTCGTGCTCTTCGACTTCCCAAAACTCTATTCCCGGGCCACATTTTGAATGCCCGGAGCCAACTGTAGGCCACTTCGTGCTCTTCGAGTGCCCAGAACTCCATTCCCGGGCCACATTTTGAATGCCCGGAGCCAACTGTAGGCCACTTCGTGCTCTTCGAGTGCCCAGAACTCCATTCCCGGGCCACATTTTGAATGTTTGTAGGCCAACGAGTTCCCAGAACTCCATTCATTTTGGCTGATGCAGAGGCTGGTGATGCTGATGCTGAGGCTGAGGCTGAGGCAGGCTGATGAGGCTGAGGCTGAGGCTGAGGCTGAGGCTGAGGCAGGCTGGCTGAGGCAGGCTGAGGCTGAGGCTGAGGCTGAGGCTGAGGCTGAGGCAGGCTGAGGCTGAGGCGAGGCTGAGGGCTGAGGCTGAGGCTGGCAGGCTGAGGCTGAGGCTGAGGCAGGCTGAGGCTGA